TTTCTATTATTTTTTGCATATTATTTCTGTGAGTGTATATGAGAGTATGCCAGATGCTTCAATTTTCACTACATCATGATCTTGGTTTTTTATTCATTTTATTAGGGGCTCACACAACTCTTATCACAATCCATACATACATCAGTTGTGTAAAGCACATTTGTACATTCATTGCCCTCATCATTCTAAAAACATTTGCTCTCCACTTAAGCCCCTGGCATCACATGATCCTGGTTTTATGGAACTTATTTGTCAAAGTAAATCTAATGAAGGGTTAATCGACTATGAGAGAAGGCCTGGTGGTGTAGTAAACTATTCATTAAACTGCTAACCACAAAGTTAGCAGTTCAATTCTACCAGCCACTCCATGGGAGAAAAGGCTGTCTTCCTCCTGTAAAAATGTAAAAGTCTCAGAAACCAAAGGGCAATTCAACTCTGTCACTGTGACTCAGGAATAATTCTGTGGCAATGAATCCTTTTGTTTTATATTGCTTTAGATGATGAGGGGAAATTAATTCATAACATTATGAATTTTAAATGTGTGTCTTCATCGAGATACTACTATATGCCACGGATTAGGAAACCAGGAGAGATAAAAAAAGAACTGTTCCCAACTCAATAAAAAGACAAACAACACAAAATAGGGGCAAGCAACAAACATGACGAAATGCTCACAATCATTAGCCATCTAAGGGAGGCAAATCAAAATAATGATGAGGTATCACCTTGCCCCAACATTGAGAGCAAAGTTCCAAAAAGCAGAAAACAGCACATGCTGGAGAGAGTGTGGAGAGACTGGAAGCCTCATACGCTGCTGGTGGGACTGTAAAGCAATACAGCCACTGTCGAGAGCAGTGGGCCACTTCCTCAACCCATTGGGAATAGAAATATCATATGACGCAGCACTCTCTGTGCTTAATATGTACCTTAAAGAAATAAGGAACCCAGCATGAACAGGTACATGTATACACCCCTGTTCATTGCAGCAATGTTCATAATAACAAGAAGAGAGAAACAAATGCCCCTTGGTGCAAGAAGAGATCAATAAGCTTTTGTACATACAGTGAAATACTACACATCACTAAAGACTGATGATGAGTGGAGGACCTTATGCTGAGTGGACTTAGGCCATCACTAAAGGACAAGTATTGTATAAGACCCCTGTTCTAAAAGACGGGGCACTCGTGGCATACTGGTTACACGTTGGACTGCCAACTGCAAAGTCGGCAGTTGGAGAACACCAGCCACTCTGTGGGGAAAAGAGGCTTTCTACCCCTACGAAGAGTTACAATCTTGGAAATTCACAAGGACAGTTCGCGTCCTCTGGGGTCCCTATGCGTCTGAATTAATTCGATGGCAGTGAGTTTGGAGGGTTGCTGTTGTTGTTATAGAAAATAAAAATAAAGGTTTTCATACCAAAGAAACAGATTTTGATGGCTCCCAGGGTTAATTGTCAGAGGCAAAGTTGACATGATTCCATAATATACAGCAGGGCTTATGTGGTACTCAAAAGGTTTTACCCCTGAGGGAAGTAAAGAACTTATTGGACTGCAGTAGATGGACTTAGGTTCCAAATTGATGGAATAATCAAAAGAACTCTAGGTTAGATAAATAACCTCTCAACCAACTCCAAACAGGGATAGTTTCCACATTCCAAACTTCTTGCTCTAAAAGGATATTATAAGAATCTAAACTAGTCTTCCCTTCTCTAAAGAGGCCTATGATACTTACCAGGGCAGCTAGGTGCTAGAGAAAAGGAAATGTCTAGATCTTTCCCGGATTTTAAGTGTTGGCTCCGAGCTAGCATAATCCCTGGGAAACCAAACATTATGTCAAATTAGGAGCTGAGGGAAAGAAGACAATAAACAGATCAGTTCTACCTGGGCCTGATTCAATCTCACTGTGGGTACAATGGGTCGTTAACCCAATCCGTTTTATTTACTCAATTTCCGAGTGCATGATAGAATGAGAAAGAAAACAAAAACGACTAGGTTCTTTGTGCCAAAGTATTCCTAGACTGCCCAGACTGATGTTATTTAGGATAATCACCAACATTTGTTAAGTGCTTACTATGTGCCAAGCACTCTGCCAAGTGCGTTATTGATCTCATATAATTCTCTCAATAAACTCTATTTGGTTTTCCATTTATTATCCTCACTTTACAGATGAGTAAACGATGATCCAGAGATGTTGATGACCACGGCTAAAATTATACACTTCATCTATGGTAGAGCCATGTTCACTTTAGATTCTGACAACAAAAGCCCATGTTTTGGGTAGCAGCAGTTCTCTACTGCCTGATACATAGTCTGTCAACAACAACTCACTGCCATCAAGTCTATGCCAGCTCAGAGCGACCCTGTAGGACAGAGTAGAACTCTCCCTTGTGAGTTTCCAAGTCTGTGATT